CGAGTTGCAGCGATTGCAGTTCTCTAAGTCCCGCGTCCAGCGACCGTTCTCGTCTTGAGTCGCAGCCTTCTCCCTTTCACTTCCTCCATCCATCGGTTGCCAGAACCGTGTCGGAACGTACTGGTAGCGATTCGGGAGAGACTTCGCAAGCCAGCGCCTCTTCTGCTGGTGCCATGGGGTTTGCAGCCCGCCTTTTCGGTATCATAGTATAATATACTATGATATTTGCATAGTGTAAATATGCCACGATCTATTATACTATGGCATAGTATATTATGATATATTATACTATGGTATATTAGACTCTGGTATAATCTACTATGATATATTATACTATGATATATTAAACCATGGTATACTATACTATCATATGCTCTACGATACGATAAGGCACCATACTTGGGAGGCGCCTCGGGCCTTTGGGCCTTGCAGCTCTGCGCTTCGGAGGATGGGCTGAGGCCAAGAGCTTTTAGGGTTTAGGGTTTAGGGTTTAGGGTATACTAGGACCCAGAGTAGGCCCTTATTCCCTTTTTTAAGGTTTCGGTTCTTTTATAACCCCCTTTAACCCAAAAAGGGCACCCTTTTTATTCCTAGGTTACTCTTGGGTCTAGTATAGGGCTTTTCCTTTAAGGGATCCTTGTGGGGTTCCTTTGTAAGAGAGTATAAGGGTTCCTTTTAAGAGTACCATTATAGGGCTTTTCCTTTAAGGGATCCTGGTGGTTCCTTTTGCAGAGTATAAGGGTTCCTTTAAGCTTTTGTTTTGGTGGGATTCCTTGTTAAGAGTACCTGTAAGGGTCTGAGATTCCTTTTACGAGTACCTGTAAGGGTTCCTTTAAGAGATCTTGTTAGGGTTCCTTCAAGAGTACACTTAAGGGTTACTAACTCGAACTGCAACCAGAATACTTTACTGGGCATCAGGGAACTTTGGGGTTTGCGGATGGTATTGGGCTTCAGGGGTTGGGCTTTTAGGGCTTAGGGCTTGCCCTCTGAGGCGCTTCATCAGGATTTTTGGAGGGTTCTTGGTGTGAAAGTTCGGGGCTTGAAAGGTTTAGGGTATTTAGGGCTTTCGGGCTATAAAGCTTGAGGGTCGGAGTGTGACGTCGACAAACCGCACAGTGCCTCAGGTTACGGATACTCAGGCGCTTCTGGCTACTGATGTATTCACTGCTTCAGGTCTAAGGTGTATTGCTTGAGCGTCTTGTTTTTTTGGATGAGGTCCGGGGTTGTCGTGCGAGGGACTTTCCGGATAGGGTTTTGATTACGTGCCTGGCTTTTCATGGTGTTGGGCTCTTGGCGCTTGTAAGGTTTAGGGGGCGACAACTTTGTGTTGCATTGTTCATTGGTTTCATAGCTGTGTTGTTTGAGGGGGAGGGTTCTCGCCTCCGGCGAGAAGTGTTAGACGCAGAAGAGCTTACGCTGGCTTCACGGGGGCAAGCTCAGAGTCTGTCCCCAAAAAGGAAAGTAGCACTCCAACACACCCAGTGGCGAAGGTGTTTCCAGTCCGAGATCAACAACTTTGTGCGACTTGTTGTGTCCTCTTGCCTTCGCACGCCATCCTCGCGCACAGCTCCTGGCGCCCGAACCTTCCACTTCATTCACTTCCATCGCCTGCCGACATTTGTTGACCACATGTGTCTTGAAGATGTCAATTTAAGTTCGTTGGAGTGGTCTTCCCGAACAGTTTTTCTCAATCCTGCGAGTGTTCTTGCCAGCCATCAGTCGTGGTGCTGATGCTGGTGATGCTCTGAAAGACGATGGTGACCAGAAGGTTTATGATGCTGACGGTGGTGGCTTTGGTGGCGACGGGGGGCGGTGGTGATGGTGATGGTGGCGGCAGCGACAGCTGCGACGATGCTCATCATGATATTCGTGCTGATGAGGATGACGATGATGGTGATGACGGTAGTGCTGGTGGTGGTGTCAGTGGTGGTGGTGTCGATGTTGAAGCTGAGAACTTGTGACCAAGCTGATGCCGAGTCCACATTATGCCGAGTGGTAGCCTCAGAATCGAAAGCGCCCTTCACAGGCTGCCGCTGCCTTGCTTCGAAGCCAGTTGCGTTTCGAATGACGAACATGACCCCAAGCCCAATCACAAACCCAAACGCTGCTAGACTGCAAGACTTGCACACACGCATCTCCTCCCCAGGTGTACTTGCAGGTTCTGGAGGTTCCTTCATCTCGCTATACTACAATACACCCCAATCTTTTATTCCTTTTCTAGCTACGATCCCTACTCCTAAAGCCTATATGTTGCTTATGAACGACATTGTTGTTAATTACAGAGCACCCTATTTGTTAAAGCCTGCAGGGCTTTGAGCACCGTGGGCCCGCCCTTGTCCTTCCGAGTGCACACGCGGACGCCGAGCCCACCCAGCTGCTTGGGCACTATTCTTATTTGGGAGTTTCCGAAAAGAACGGGTACCCCACTTGGGGGTCCCTATAATAAGGATCCTACTATGTAGGCCACAATATCAGAGTTCCCTCATTTTCGGAAACTCCTATTTGGTCGGAATAGGGTTCCTATTTCCTGTTACAGGGCTCCATACCCTGCCATGTGAGCTCGTTCTTGCGAAGTAGGAGGCAACAAGGGTTCTGAGTCTAAAGGGCTCTAGGATTTCATGGTTGGGTTTAATTAGAAGAGGCCTTAGGGTGTATTATGGCATAAGGATACTAAGGAACCCTGAGCAAGAATATCAGCGGGTGGCGTGGACACGCGATCGAACAGACACGGCGGATTTAGGACTTGCGGATTCAACGAAGCCATGTGGGGATTTGTTGCACGGGTTTCGGGCAGTTCCTGACAGTTTTTCAGGGTCTGCGAAGAAATTATGCAGGTTACGACGGAAGCTCACTTGGAAGTAAGACATGCTCCCTTCATTTTAAGCAGGCTCTGGCGGAAAGAATCATAATCTTCACACCATTGCCTTAAACACTTAGCAAGCAGAAAAGCATTGCGCTCCTGAGCCTCGGACCGTTCTGCCAAGCTATCTCTGGATGCACGCCGAGCCGAGTGCGTTCGAAAGGGATGCCATTGCGTGTGGCTGTCAATCTCCGTGCAAAGTGGAGACAAGAAGGCCAATGCGAAATCCTTAAGAACTAAAATCCCTCAGTCGCAACAGACTAATCAGTTCAGTACACATCACTCATACAGCCTGGTCGGATTGCTGCTGCTGAGGTGCACCTTACCTAACGGCGACGGGGCTTTCCGAGTCTGGCTGCACCTTGTCTGCGGACCTCTCAGCTCTCATAGGGCTGCTTAGAGTTTGGGGTTTGGGGTTTGTCTTTCCGGCTGAAATTCTGCAGCGTGCTCGTGATGACGGGTCCTTCAAAAGCTGCAACTCCCTTCGCACTTTAGCTTTCGGGCAGGAGGCTCTGGACGTATTCATGATCTCCCTAAGATTTTACAAGGGTGTATTATGCCGGGCCCGGATTCACTGCCCCAGTCATGCTCAAGCCTACTGCAGGGACCTAAATGGTTACCTATACTATTTGGGGGTTGCTTATTATAAGTATAGCATAATTTATGATAGACCCCCAAAGCCCCATTTTTATTATGACGGCCCCTATAGTATGCGGAAAGCAGTGTAAATTGTGCCCATCTCCCACTGCACCTCAGAGCCTGAAGCAAAATCCATCAGCCTCCATCTGGGAGTTCCGAAAATTAGGGGTACTGTACCTTACTTAAGGGTCCTTATAGCAAGGATCCTACTATTCATTTAGGGTACCATATTAGAATAGGGTCCCCTATGTTCGGACATTTATAGAAGCCTCCCAGTTGCCTTGAAGGAACCCTGAAAGGGTCCCCTACATAGCGCCCATCTGAGGTTTCATCATTGTCAACTGGCACGAGCCCCTGGACTCGGGCGGATCTCCGATCCTTGCTCATGCTGCGTGGCTCAGAGGTATAAGGCTTTCAGGCCTGGATTTATAGAGTCCCCACAACCTGAGACCCCTATACTATATAAAATATGGCATGGCATATATGATAATTCTTGCGATGTATAAGGTATAATGCAGAAGGCCAAGATAGCTAAGCATTTGTGAGTACCTTCGTGCCACATTTCCGTGTAAAATGACGAATCGGTAAGAGTTACTGGGTTGTGCTTTTGGGATAACTTTTAATATCCCTTATTTCCTTATAAAGGGAACCTATTCATACATAATTTTCTTCATACATAATTTTCAAAGGGTTTAAGGCACAACCCAGGTTACATGCCTTATCAGCCCTTCTAGTTTCGCCAACCTTTATACGGGTCATGTCGGATGTGTCTCGCGGTGGCTTCCAAGTCTCTCCGATCTTTGCACCTGGCGGTTCTGCAGCCAACAGCGAAACGCCGAAGCAAACCCTAAACCCTAAATCCTAAACCCTGTGGACTATGTGGAGCCGTGCCTGCCTTGTGCGAGTGTGAGCGTCGAAATCCTAAACCCTAAACCCTAAACCCAATGAGACCAGCAGCGAGGGGAGAAAAGGGCCGTCTAAAAAAAAAAACAATGCAAGGACCTGAAGCTCTGGGAGCAAGAGAGGTATGTGCGGGGAGAGGAGCCTTTGGCCGCCTCCCGGCTGAAGATTTAATATAGGGGCCCAAAAAATTACCAATACATTGTGGGGGTCCTTATTGTAATTATCGGTTAATGGGCCCCAAAACCCTATTCTGATTATTAAGGCCCCTATATTAGGCCGCTTGAGGCAAAACAGTGAGTAGGCAGTGGGCAGAGACCCCAACCCAAAAAACACCCCAAATGCACACCCAGAGCTCCTCCCCATAACCCTATGTGCACTGGAAAGCTCCTGGACTGGACGTCTGGAGGGGCCCCGACCCTAGAACGATGTTGAAACAATGTAGGCACATTTGCCTGGCAGACGAGGGGTCCGCCATGAATGCAGTTGTCACTGCGGCAGCTTCGGGTTTTGATTGAAACCAGGATCAGGGTCCGGGGTCGAGAAGGGTGTTCAAATTAAACTGCCCTGCACCCCGAAGCTCTTGAAAGTCCAAGGTTGCATGATGATATGCTCTTATCATGGAGATAAAATACTCTGTGGAGCTGCTTCAGATCCTGCAAAGGGTTGCAACAAGCAGGTCTTCAGCGGAGACGAAGTCTTCCCGGAGTATCACCTCGAGGGTGTGTCGTTGGGAACAGCTCCTCAGCAGATCGCAGTCAAACTGCCTTGCTTTCGTCCATTGAGATGGCAGCTCTGCAGTTTGAAAAGCATCGCCAATCATCGCCGCATCCTTTGAAAGTCATAGGATGCCGTTGGCCCTTCTGCCAGAGCACCAAGCAAGCAGCAGTTCCATCTGTTTTGTTGATGCGAGTGGCTTTACGCAGAGATTGTGTGTGTGTGTGTAGTATGAACAGGGAGGCAAGGAGGAAGAGGACGCGACGAAGAGATGCAAATAGAGAAAAGAGATGTATGCATGATGGTCAGAAACCTCTATCAGCACTTGCTGTCCCAGGACTACGTTCTGCAGGTGCGATGCCACAACGAGGCCACTGTGACTCGATGTTCCAAGTCTCTGCACGGTCGGGGCCAGAGCTTGCAATGATAAAGGGTGAGTTGTTTCAGGCATGTATGAATTGAAACCCAAAGCTAAAACAACACAAAAGGGGCTTCATTACTACTTATTCTTATTACTTGTTGTTATTGCTATCTTATTTCTGTTGTTATAAATGAACCGTATTGGCCCTCAAGGCAGGAACCTTCCAAAGCCTCACAGTTTGCGAGGCTGGCGCTTCGGAGTGGAGTGCACTGTCAGAGCCCTTGCGGACGCCTGAGCCCAGGCTCTTTCTTGCTTCTGGCGCATGCAAATCACATCCCGAGCCTGAAACCCGGCATGCACCCCTTCGATGCAATCTCCGGAATTCCCAAGCTTGCCAGGCCCAAAGACTTGGGTCCGCCGGAAGCTCTGGTCCTCCGATGCAATGTGTAGGGTTTAGGGTCTTAGGGTTTATAGGGTTTAGGGTCTATAGGGTTTAGGGTTTCGGGGCCTCGGGGGCCTTTATAGATCCAGTTTTTGTGTTTCTCGTTTTTCGTTTCCGGTCTTTGGTTTGGGTCTTCGGGTTGGGTGGTTTCTGGGCAGGTCTCGAAGCTTCGGGTGGGGGGCTTTTGCGGTGTGGTCTGGCAGCCATGTAGGCTATCTAAGCCACTAAACCGCCAATCTTTTCTGTGGCCTGCGTCCCCCCAGTCAACGTTTGGACCTGGACCAACATGTATAGATCAGGTTGTACAGGGTATGGCAGGCAATACAGCAAATCCAGTGGGCCCCGAACAGTTGAGCAAAACGAGAAAGTCCGCTTTGTGTTTCAGTCTCCGTCCCAGCTTCGAAAGGGCCATGTCGGATTCGGCCCAAGTGCCAGGAAGCCGGTCTCGAATTTGTCACGTTGCGGTGGACAAGTTCCACCATCGACGTGGAGTGCAGCTCGGATGATGAGAAGCCGGGGCATCGGGCACCGTTTCAATTCAGCCTGTGGCCCTGCTAGGAGAATTCTTTTAGGATTTCGCAACGACAGCAGGAAGAGAGAGGAGGGCCCTTCCACCGATCTGCTTGTCTGCTTGTTTCTTGGGAAGCTCAGGCTACGAAATTCTGGATCCTTGGCGGCTCCTGGTTAGCTTGTCAGGTTTTGGTTTTGGGTGCCAGTGCTTCTTGGAGTGCCGAAAAAGGGCAGTCACTTTGAGATTCCAGGCTTGTTTTGCCATTCTGCAGATCGCAGACCTAATGTCCCGGACCAAGCCCTGTTGCAAGTGGTTGTGGTTGTATCTGGACCCTAAACCCCTAAACCCTAAACCGTGGAGAGGTTGCGCCGGCGTGTTGCTATGATTTGTTGGTGACGTCGTGACGAAGCCTCTTAGTATCGTCTCACATCGCAGACTCCGAACCATATGCCTCGCCTGGATTGTCCGGGTGTGAGCGCCGAAATCCTAAACCGCGGACATCTGCATGCCAGATCTTGACACGGCGTCCGATCTGGCACCCGAAAGTCGAAAGCCGGAGACCTCGCTATGCTATGACTATCTACGACTCATGGAGTTTTCACCGTTCATGGTCTCGGGTTCGAGTTTAGCCGTACGTATGTGCGTGAGAGTATGGAGCTCGGTTGCATCATTTGAGTTTGTCAGGGCTTGACGAGCAATGAATGCGCACAACATCATGACAATACCTTGTGCTGGATTTGCCGCCGTCTGCCAACCCGAGTACAGGTAGCAACAATTGAGGACAGCAGTGGTACAAGAAGACAAGGCACAAGTCGCAGTGGGTTCAGGGTTGAGGGTAATGTGACCTGTGGCAATGTGACATGCGTACATACCTAATCTTGCTCTCACTCAACCGGGGTCGCTCAGGTGGAACCGCAGAGCAGCAGCGAGCCCAGCAACCTGGCTGCATTCAACGTGTTTCATGTGGTGACGTAAGGCTTACCCTGTTCATTTAGTTAGGGGTCTTTACAATAAGGATAATTGTGCGTGTTGTAGATGATATACGGTCTTGTATGTTCGCAAAGTCCCACGGGTGCATTTTCGTTTCGAGCCTAGGGTGTCGCCTTTTTGCATTGTTAGGTCCTAGCGTGCCCACTCGAACCCGGGACTACGGTGCAGACAGCGCTTCAGTCATGTAGGGAGGCTGCAAGATTTGACGGGACTACAGCTTTGAATAGACAATTGCATGTTGCACGTTGAGCATCTTCTGTTCTTCTGCAACTCTGGTGAGATCGCGGAGCCTGATACAGTAGCAGCATTCTGTCTCATTGAGGCGCAAGGCTGCAATGGTGCAGGAAAGCCAAAACGTCCGAGCCATGTGGAGGTCAGATCCCTGCATAAAGTTGGGCCCCTCAACCAAGTGTGCAGGACTTAGAATTTCGTGCGAGTGACTACTGGCATTCACAATCAGGCTGGGTGTCTACAGTGGATGCCCCGGCTGAGGACGCACCGGCATGAAGATGTTTCGCTGATCCAAGAGCCGGTTGTGAAGTATAATACATCATGGGGACAAAAGTTTCGACATACGGAGGATATTGACAGCAAAATACATGAACCTATGCCGCGGAGGAGCGGAGTGGAACAAGGTCCGTTTTATGTGGCCAGCGTGGCGGAGCATTTAAATTTAAATTCCTGGAATAAAACTATACTGCTATAATGTTCTCGGCGGAGAGCTTCTGGGATCTTGTGTTAGGAGTCTTAGGGGGAAGAGGGGTGGCATCGCTACAGATGTTGAGTCGCAGGCAATGTGGCGAACTTTCGTCCTGCGGTACTCAGAGACCTGACTTCAGTCATTTCGTCAGTACTTGTAACTTAAACTATGATCCGACTGACGCGCCCAGATGCCATGTTCAGCCCTTGCCATGAATTGGCCCATCGCTAACTGAACAAACACGACCAAGGTCGCATGAAGGAAATCGTTAAAGCTCACGAGGATTCATCGACTAGATCTTCGCTGTGGGAGAGGGTTTCGAAGAATGAAAGAGAAATCTTAGAGAGAGAACTTGGAGCGTAAGTTGCCGCAGATGTCTTGGAGTGACGGAAGCTGCGAGTGCTCAACCCGAAACCCCGAAAGCCCAGAAAGCTCTATGAACGACGACGCTTTGCACGTGACAAATTACCGAAACCTGTAGAGCCTTTGCAGAAACCTTTAAACGGTAAAACTCTAAATTTGAAACCTTGAGCCCGAAAACCAGCCGGAGGAGTCTGGACCCGCGGAACCAGGGAGCGAGCAGACTGAAGCAACGATTGCTCCATGCCTGAGCAGTTTGCGGGTCTCTCTGATGACTGGTACCAGAGTTATGATTCCGCTGCTGAATATTTCAGTTTATATTGTGTGATAATATTCGAACTGCTGTTGTTGCTGGAAAAGTGTTTTTTGAAGGCCAAACGCATGCAAAAAGAGCCAGCTCAGCAGCAGCAACGGCGTTTATGTAGTTATAAATCTTAAGGCCGTACATACCGCTGTTCTGAGTAAGCTTCTGCTGATGTCCACAGTGTCTTCCCAGAGCTTCAAAATCGGCACACTGTGAATCTGCTCCGGGAGCTTCCCGTCTTTCTTAGGAGGTTTTCGTAGGTTTCAAGCTCCTTTATACGGGAACAGATGTACCACACGTCCAGGAGCCATGACAGTCAAAGCCTGGACTGTAAGACCCGTTCAGTGCAGGCTGCAGAGGGTGGATGGTCGGTCAGTCGGTCATTCGCATCCCAACTCGGCCTAGCACCTCCCAAACCGTCAAACCCTCAAGGGACTGCGGCCCGCAACGCAGGAGGCTAATGCCGCATGAACACTGTGCTCCGGTAAGCGCAAGACGGGTCCTTGTTGGTACCAAGAACCTGAATGGATTAATAGTCCTACAATCCTGCAAGTAGTGTAGAGTATACTCCCAAAGTCCCACCGCAGATTGCGGTTGAGGCTCCCTCAGTCCTCATCTTCACAACATATACACGGTAGTGTAATACGAAGCTCTGGATATCCAGTAATGTCAGTATCAATCTGATGTCTCCTGATAGTCCCGATATATACCATACCTCACCCTATTCTGATTCTTACGGGCCCCCCATTACTATTCTGGGGGTTCCTACAATGATTATAGTATACTTGGCCCCAAAACCCTATTCTACTTATTAAAGGCTCCTATACTACACCCCCTTACGGTTGATGATATAAATCCTGCATTACCTTAAGGAACCTAAAGTATGGGAATTATGGTATATTCCTTATTATGGGTAATATTGGGTAATGCAGGATTCATATCATCAACCGCATTACCCCGTTTTTAGCAAGGATGGTTTGCGTCCCCGGCAGCTCTACTGCTTCCGCGTGCGCGGACGCGGGAAGTCGGAGCCCGGGCTGCTCACGCCGCAACGAAGCCTGAGGATCCTTCGGAAATGTGAGTTTCCGAAGTGCCTTATTTATGGGGTCCTTATAGTAAGGATCCTATCATGTAGAGTACTATACCAGGGTCCCCTATTTCTGGAAACTCCCAAATAGGCTCAGGGTGTATAGACATTAGGGACGCCATTCCAGATGCTTAGGGTTTCTGTCGGCAGCTTTGAGATCCACGCGTGCATGAACAAGTCCGTGCAGAAAAGGGAATGTTTAGGGGGTTTTTAGGGTTTCCAGAGGCGAGAGGACGGGTTTTGGATTCGGGGAGCTCGGGACGTTTAGTGTGCATGGTAAGGTTTTTGAGGGTTTCGCCAGGGGTTGTGAGCAGAGACGAACCGTCCTGTTGGGATGCTGTGAAGCTCCAGACTTCCCGAGGCCGTGGTCGATGCGCAGCGTGGCTTGGCTGCAGCCATCTACATAAATGCAGTCAGCTGTTTGTGCCAAGCTGAGGGACCTGAAGTTCTGGATTGCAGTCCGAGTTCAAGTGAAGTCGTCCTTGAGGCGCCTTGCGGGAGCTCCCAGCAGCCATTGCCCTAATATCGGGGCCGGGTCCGAATCCATATGTAGAGTTTAGATGACAGCCGTGTTCTAAAGATCAGGGCTCCCACAGTACACTGTGCAATCAACAGCCGAAGATACCCAGGTACATCATGCAAAGCCCCTGTAAATGCACACACCTGCAGACCCTGGCCCATCTGCGCGTCACGTCGATTCTGCAAGTCCCACAACTTGAGCCTGACTGCCCTGAAGTTCCGCATGGATATGTTCTCCCTCAGCCCAATAACACCCCGGAGACTCTGGCCCTCACCTCTACAGTATGCACGCTCAGAACCCTGACCCTAAACCATCCTCAACGCGAAACCGGATAGCACAGCCCCGAGCCCTAATCCAAGACCAGACTCCCAGACGTCTCCAAGCTCAGGAGCTCGTATACACTGCCGCGCGGAATCCGCAAGTCGCTACAGCACCGACCGCTCCGGTTCCTTCGGTATGCAGTCGGCAGTCAAAAGGCTTACAGAAAGCGCATAACTATAGGGTTAAATGGAATTAATTTAGGGTTCAGGGTTTCTGCTTAGAGCACTATGAGTGATTGTGCAGTTCTAACCTTTGTTCTGTGTATAACTGGCAGAAACTCAAGAGTACAGGTGAAAGGCTGTTGTGTATCTGCTGCCAACACACTTTTGGGTTTGTTCCGCACCCGAAGTCTGCCATCCAAGACGAGGGTGAAATAGATGTTTGAAGATGTCGACCGAATCGAATCGCTACGGTTGCTGTGTATCCGGTTCCCGACTGCGAGCTTAGCTATATGCCCATGACATGGTTTACGATATGGAGACTTTGGCCGTTCATTTCCGCTGCCTTCCGGGCGGATACCTGGACCATGATGTGCCCATCAAGGGTTGTCTTGCAGACAACTTGGCCTACAGGAATTGGGCTTGCAACGAGGCCGTAAGCTAAACCTGGAGCCCACGTGAGGACGTTTTATTATATGTCCAGCCACAGCTTCCTGAAGTGTATCATGTTCTACTGATTTTACTGACTGCCTTACGTGGTGTCACATGATACTTTAACAACATTATGTTATTAGTTGTATGTGTGATTTTTGCACATTGCCTTATATCATACTCTACTATAGAAGACTGCTGTTCTGCTTTTGATTCACTTCCAGAGGTGCAGGCCGAGCGTATGCAACTCGGCAAAGCTGAGTAGGCTTCAGGCGTGCATGACTTGAAAGTCGTTTTAGGGTTCAGGGATTTAGAGTTTAGTGTTGAGGGCTTGAGGGTTCAGGGATCTATGTAGAGTTTAGGGTTGGGGCTTTCCTGCAGACCGGATGCAAACGGGATTGCGGGACAGAGGTTAGGCTTTGATGGCCTGTGATAGAGTTTACAGTGGCTTTTGTGTTGTTTTGCTTGTATCTTTCCTGTTGTTGGACTCCAGGTTACAGGTTTGCAGGGATGGGCGCCGCGTCGCGAGGGAGCCCTGAAACCTTGAAAAGAGGATCAAGGTTGAAGACTTGATTTCGTTTTTTTTGAGGCTTCAGGCAGCAGTTCAGACTTGACTTCTGACGTTAGATAGGGCTTGGGTGCGTGGCAGCGTTAGTGAGGGGGAAGGTGTTGCATGTATCATGGCAAGGCGGTTCGTGCATATCGTCGTCTTTATGCTTGATGCCCTGCCAGTTGTGTGGCTCACTGCCCGAATTGATCTGAGGCTGGCGATTGATGTTCTAATCTTGCAAACAAGCAGTAGCAGGATGGAGTGAATCGCTTATGATCTCTAGTCCTGTGCTCGATCGTGCATTTTTTGCAGCGTTTCTGGCCCGAAAAGCCCGAATCCCAAACCGTGCATCTGCAACCTTCGCCCCTGTTGATAGCGATTCGGAGATGTTTGCGCTCATTCTGATCTCATAACCTGTAAAGTCTCAAAGCAGTACCCTGAGCATGCAGCAGTGAGGAGGGATGGTATGGTTCTCGTCACTTTGCTGCAACAATGAGCTATCAGGGGAGTCTTTGCTCCGAGACCTGCTCACCCACAGCCTGTACCTTCAGTA